CGTGTGGCTGCAAGCAGAGGTGTGAGGAGGAGCCTTCCCTCTCGGGCTGGCACCACCTTTTGGCTCTGCTTTGGGTGCTGGACTCGGTGCTGCTGCTGCAGGATTCGCAGGGTGACGCCGGCCAGCGAGGGGCTGTGGGCCGGAACGTGTGTCCTGGCCTGGAGGCTCTCGGGTCTCCAGCGTCCTCGAAAGCCGTCCCTGTCCCTGCTTTAATTGCAGCGGGCTTGCAGTTTGCTGTGTGCAAATCTGCCTGGAGTCTAAGAACATCTGCTGTCAGGTGTGTTATCGATGCCTGTCGAAGAGCAGCTGGTCACCAGTGAATCATGTCACACACACAAACCTCAGGAGCTGGCAAACATTCAGTTACTGCGTTAGAGGGATTCTTTGCTGGGTGGGCAGTGAGCAGCTGTTCCAGGGAGACCAGCAGTAAAAGAGGACAGAGAGAATATGGAAATATTTTCTGTGGAATTCTGTTTCGGGGAGAGTCCATCACAGCATAGACCTTGCTGGAAGTACTCTGTCTGGAAGCTGTTGTCTATGGTACAAGGTGAAAACTCTTGTACCTTACTGTGTGCCGGGGGTGGAACTTGTTTTATTGCAGTTGCACAGTGTAATTTGTGCAGCGGGGAGGAAGCGTTGCAGCAAAGCTGTTCCCTGCAGTTTCCTCATCTCGGGGCTGCTGCATGGCTGTTGTGTGGCTAACTGCGTGTTGCCCTCCGCATCCTCCAGGCAGCAGCTGCTCCAGCTGGTCGTGGATGCTCCAGTGATTTCTTCTCCACTGGCCTGTAGCAGACGAGCAACGGGCAAAAGCCACGTTAGGAGCCCTGGGGCTTGGCCAGCTAAAAGTGCCCGAAAAGAGGAGCTACCGGTGATTGAGAGTTTCTTGATCAAGGAAAACGTGCTCACCCCGACAGCTGGACCTGCAGGAGCACATGGGGAGGTCTGCAAAGCCGAGAACCACCACGACCTTCCTAGCAGCTCTCCCGAGGCCTGTGGCAAAGACGATGAAGTGGGATCAGGGAAGAGTCCCGAATGTGCCAAAAACCACGAAGAGCCTTCTACGTCTGTGGGCAAATCAGTTGAGAAAGGTGAGATGCCTCATTTTGGCTTTTGCTCTGCTCCTTGAGTCCTTGCTAGTGGTTTGCAGTGGATATTGGAGAACCATCAGCATATGGAATTGGCCTCCTTTCCGCAGCACACTGACGTGTGCGGGTGTATCCT